TACGGGAAATTACCCTCTGCCTCTAACTGAAGAACATTGAACATTGAACATTGAACATTCGAAGCAACATCCGTAAACACAAAAACACTTGTCAGTGAATGTTTTTCCTTGCACCATATGACATCATGGCTATAAACAAAGCAGTTCAAATAATTTCATGCTCTACTCTGCGATTTGTTTCAGTGGCACGTGCGCGCCCTACACATGAATAGACAAATAACAGTACATGGCAAACGCAAGAAAGTTACAAAACGGCATCTTTGACACGCCCGAAAGCTCGATAGCATAATTGTTTGTAAAATTGTCAATGCATTTCGCAGGGAATTTCTCGATGAATTACCAGTAACAACGATCAATAATTAGCGATCACAAAGGTCAGAATAAGCACTTGGCACCTAAGTAAATGGGAAATTATATTGTACATCATGTCGATTAAGAGCAATAACGATTTGAAAATGGCGAACATAACTTATCAGTAAAGCAGTTAATACGTCTTGACTATTAGACTTATTAGCATCAACTTGACACATGCAGATGTTTACCAATCTTAGAATTCTCCTCTCTGATAATAATATAATACTTGTGCACATTCAACTTTTGCAGTATCAAGTTGAGACAAACAAATCCATAATATCACTTATAGACCGATATCCGCGAGTCTTGAAAATAAATGTACCGATTGGCTGGACAGTTGCGCTAAGTACGCAGTCAGCTTAGTGACCTACTTCTTTCAGAAACGCAGGGCACTCGTATGAGACCCGTATGTAGCACGTGCATCTCATGACGATATAATAGGGTATTCGGAACCAACTTGAATTAAGCGCTCGGGTAAAGGGCAATGAGTTTTATCTGCATTAGCTATCCAAATTACAAGCAGTCGACCAAAGTGAAGTTTGGATAAGGGCAAATTCAGGAACAATGCATTCGGTAGTTTAGCTTGATCTCGTAATTAAACACACAAAGAATTAGATGTACCTGCTTGTTCGACTATAATGCGAAAATCCAGACTGGTCACGTGTCCGGAACGTTGGGGATCAAAAGCGGCGAACAGGCGAGACCATGCGCGTAGTATTTCCCACACGCGTCGAAAGTCGGACTCCGTCAATCGTCCGGAGCCATCCCGATCAAGCAGGGCAACCAGAGCACGACATGCGTCCGTGTTTACCTGAAATTAACAATTAAGGTATAAGAGCAGTCAGTTAGTTCGGTGCTCGAGCTAAACAGGTGTTCGCAAATGACAGACAACTAGGTTTGTTTCATGTGGGTATCTGAGGGTTTGATTAAGTTCCAAATGGAAATTCGTCGTGTATATAGCAAATGAAAGTTTCCAACTGAGTCATAACCCAGGAGGCTAGTGTTGAGATGAGTAGGGTCTGTGGCCCGTAGCAAGCTCGCAAAGATGGGTTATGCTATACCGTGTAAATGGAAAATTAAAAACGGTCTGATCAGTTGCCCGGTGGCCTGGTGGGTAATATGCTTCCGTTCTGCCCATGATGTTCCGGGTTCGATCCCCAGTCGGGTCGGTGGATGCGCACTGCTGATGAGACCCAACCAAGTCGAAACAGTTGTCCAGTGCTTCCTAACTTTTCAGTTCGCACTTCATTTGTTATATACACGATGAATTCCCATTCGAAACTAGGTCTATGATAGCATATGGCTTATTTTCAGTTTCACTCTATATTAGATTCGGACAAACTGTCGATACCGCTTGTTTCTGACGACAAGCGGAAGATAACTGCAACTGGAATCATGAGCCGCCGAAAAATAAAAACAGGTAGTCATTCAGTGCGGTAACGTCACAAATACACAGTTCATTAGCGATTGTTTCTGTTCATTTCTTATTACAGACCACGTCTTAACCCAGTGATCCAGCAGCTCAGAAAAAAGCAATCGTTTCACACCTCATGCCAAGTTATCCTAGTTTCCCCGTGCACGTGTTTATCTCTTTTTATTCCTTTACTTATGCAGCCTTTTCATTATTTGTCATCACATTCTTTAGTAACTTGATGAGGTCCAGCGGGATAGCGTAATTTCATTTGATCCCATTTTTCTCTCATGAAACTCATTTTACAAAGATGAAAAAACACCACTTGCCAAAGAAATCCTATGTGATATTTCTTATACTTTTTGTTCTGTGTATTCCCAAGGTCAACAGTTGCGCGGTTCTCTACTATTCTAGCACTGGATACCGCAGTGAGCAGTGAAGAATTGTCCACATGTGCATCTTAGAAGGGACGTGTGGCATTTATCACAACCAGCTGAAGGAAATTGTTGATATGATGGCGTTACTCCACTTGAAGACATCATTTGCAAGAGGATAAAGAGTAGTTCACAAATCAAAAATGGAGCACATACCAAGTCATAACCATCAGTCGGTCTCCCAGCCAACAAAGCACAAAGGCCAGATCGCAAATTACCCACGAGACGTAAACTAAACCGATCCATGAATTGTGACTGAGACGGGAAAACTCAACTCGAACTTAAGTGTCAGTGTAGAAGGTTTTGCTACTCAGGTCTACCGCCTTGGGAACATCAGCCACAAAAGCGCAATGCACCGATCGGTAAGGACAGTAAGCAAAGGACCTCAGCTTTTAGAAAATAACAAAAATTTGTTTGTAAAACGGCCAACAGAGTTCAGTCAAGGGTTTGGCAAACAGTGGTGTACACTCCCTCAGCGTGGCTTGTTTTCTCCACGTCTCCAAAACATGAGGCACCTAGGTGCTGTTTTTTCACATGTTTTTTTCTCGTCCCGGTATCATCAACCAATGACGTTGAATATTTTCTGCGGTTATGGGTTAATACTATCTACCAACTCTTTTGGTAGCTAAGTAACAAGAAGTAAGGAGTGAACAAGGAGATACTGATGGAAGCAACAGTCTGGGGAATGAGGATTGGGTTTTTGTGTTGGACGAGTATACTGTCATAGACTTCT